CACAACAGGCACGTTTCAGAAACCCCAAGGCCTCCCCGCTGGGGGAGGTGTTAGGCACCTGCCGGCAGCTGTCTGAGGAAAAGAGGCCTCTCATGTCCTTTGCACCGTGCCCTGCGGGACCGAGGTCCTCCGGTGCCCGGGGAGCCAGGCCGGGACCGTCACGGGGCAGGGGATGGCCCTCAGGAAAACCCAGGCCTCGGTCCCATGTGCGGGCGGGGCCCATCCTCCCTGTGGCGGCCCCATCCTTGTCCCCCTGTGCCCTTCGGCCTGCTTACCTGCCATCTCGATCCCAGTCGTACACCTCCACCTTGATGGTCCTGTGGGACAAAGGGTCCGTGGTGGGATGGGCTTGACCCAACATCCACGTCACCTGAGGACGGGGCCCTTCTCATGCTCCCGGGCCAGGGAGGATGGGGGGACATCCACCAGAAAACAGGGCCCTTCTCACACTCTGGGCCAGAGAGGATGCTGGGACATCCACCAGAAGACGGGGCCCTTCTCATGCTCCCGGGCCAGGGAGGATGGGGGGACATCCACCAGAAGACGGGGCCCTTCTCACACTCCGGGCCAGGGAGGATGCTGGGACATCCACCAGAAAACAGGGCCCTTCTCACACTCTGGGCCAGAGAGGATGCTGGGACATCCACCAGAAGACGGGGCCCTTCTCACACTCCGGGCCAGGGAGGATGCTGGGACATCCACCAGAAAACAGGGCCCTTCTCACACTCTGGGCCAGAGAGGATGCTGGGACATCCACCAGAAGACGGGGCCCTTCTCATGCTCCCGGGCCAGGGAGGATGGGGGGACATCCACCAGAAGACGGGGCCCTTCTCATACTCCCGAGCCAGAGAGGATGCTGGGACATCCACCAGAAGACGGGGCCCTTCTCATGCTCCCGGGCCAGGGAGGATGGGGGGACATCCACCAGAAGACGGGGCCCTTCTCATGCTCCCGGGCCAGAGAGGATAGGGGGACATCGACCAGAAAACAGGGCCCTTCTCACACTCTGGGCCTTCAGTGAGAGGCAGCAGCCCAAGACACAAAGGAACTATCTTGAGGCCTTTTAGCAAAAGTCTTAGGGACAGAGGCAGCCCTAGAGCTGTGCAGGGAGGATATGGAAAAACATCTCAGACTTCAGTTCACCCTGCCTTCTGCGTGCCCACCCCAGACTGGGCACAAGTCCCAGCACGAAACCGCACAATGAATGTATGAGGGGCGGGGCCGTCGTAGTGGGGGTGTGCTGCTCCCCGATCTCAGGCCTAAGCAGGGTGAGCTCTCCTGCCGCAGGGCTCGGGGCCGTGGGGGCTGAGTGGTGGGAGGCAGCCTGCGTGCCAGGGAGGGGCCCAGGGCCAGCCTCCGGATGGCCTGCTGAGGGGTTCCATGCCACGACTGGCTCCTGAGTGAGGGTGTAATTATCTTCACATTTTCGCCCGGCTGCTTTAATTAGTTTGTTTTGACTCCTGTGCATGGGGCTGGGCTCTGGAAGCCCATTTTATTTTTAGCCTGTTTCCATGGCAACAGGTTAGCGGACCAGAGGCAGAGGAGGGAGGTGGAAGGCTGCAGGTTAACCCTTGGTGCCAGTGGTCCTCCAGGGATGCCCAGGGAGTGGGGAGCCGCTGGGGTCCCACTGCAGGGTCAGGGTCTGGGGAGGTCTCCAGCCTTCAGTTCTAAGTGGGGCACGCAGAGGCGGCTGCCCGCCCGGGGCCTGCTTTCCATTAGCATCTCATCATCTCGCCACCCAGGGCTGTGGCCTGTCTCCTGGGGTCTCTGAGGACTCTGCCTCGGGGCTCCGCAAGCCCAGAAGGAGGCGCTGTGTGCCTTCGGATGAGCCTCCGTGGGTGTGGACGGGGCAGGCTGCGGATCCCCAGCTGGGGCAGACACTGCGCTGGAATGAAGGAATGCCCGTAGGTTGTGCATCTATTGGGTTTCTGTTACTAAGATGCAAAATGAGGGCGGGGGGCACAGAAGCCCACCATTTAAAGGAACCCTGTAAATTCTTGTGAGAAGCAAAAACAATGTCTCTCTGAAGTGAATTATTGTGGAAAGAAAATAAACCAAGCCCCGGGAGGTGGGCGGGTGAACGGGAAAGAGTGGGAAGAGGCTGGGGTGTGGACTGGGGTGTAGGCTGCTAGCTGGGGGGCCCGGGGCTGTCACTCAACCTCTGTGAGCCACGAGCCAGCGCGTTAAAGTAGGGATAGTCATGTTCTCACAGAATAGCTGCAAAGACACGTTGGAAACCTGCCTGGCACGCAGTGGGCGCTATAAAAATGCCCCTTCTCTCCCCTGGAGCATTCGGCCATATGCAAGTCATTTTCATATGAAATGTACTTAGATCAGGGACACCCAAACCTGGGTACCTGACCTGCACCTTCTGGTTCCTGGGATGACAAGGCTGGAAGTGAGCTTAGTGGCACCCACGCCTGCCCGCCTGATAGGTCACCAGGAGCTTTTCAGACACACAGACCCCAGGCCCCATTCTCGGCAGCTCCGGGCAGGGCACCGGAGGGTCTGAGCCTCCTGGTTACACCCTCCACAGTTTCCCAGTCCTTCCCTAGAGCCCTCCAGCTCTGCGGGGGGCAGCGGGGGGCCTCAGGGACCCCAGGAAAGAGTGCCTCTCCTCGGATCACTAACACCAGCCTCTCAAGTGAGGGAGCAGTGACAGCCACGTGCTCAGAGGCTGTAGGAGGACCCCGGTCACGGCCACAGCTTGGACACCCACATATCACTGGGGAGATTTTTTAATAATCGCAGGGCCAGCGGGCCTGACTGAATTAGCCTAGATAGGACTCAGGCATGGGGAGCTTGAGCAGTCCTCTGGCTGATGCTGCTGTTCAGCCAGAGCCCCTGACCTCCCTGGTTTCAATCTGGATTGCACATTGGGTGCCCGAGAGCTTTAGCAACTCCATGCTGATGCCTCAGATGCCCATGCCCCCCACCCACCCCCTGAGAATCAGAATCAAAGGGTCTGGGTGCACCTGGCAGGGGACTTGCTTAAAGCTCCTCTGGGGATTTGAACTTGCAGCTGAGGTGGAGACACTGAGTGTGAGATTCCTGTGCAATCTGCAATCGAGGCTCCAGGGACGGCGCCCAGGGTCCGATTATCTGGGAGGCTGCAAACTCCAGGCGAGGGGGAGAAGGAGGTGAGAGAAACGCTGCCCAGGGACAGGGAAGGCAGGCACAAGCCGGACACAGCTGTGACTACTCTGCTGACAGCTCTGTCGCTGTCCAGCCCTGGCTGGGCCTCCCAAGTCACCCCACATGCCCCCTGAGGGCTGCAGCCTTGGCTCCCAACCCCGTAGCTCAGGTCCAGCAAAGGCTCGTGTCGGACCAACTGTGACTTCTGGGGACAGCACCCCAGAGATGTGGGTGTGGGACAGGGAAATGGGCCTCTGCTGCCCACACACGAACATCTGATTTAGCAAAAAGGGCTCCAGACACGGAGCCCTGGTCTGAGAGCTGGAGCAGGTGGGCAGGGAGGACTGCAGCTCTGGTGGCAACCCCAGCTCTCCAGCCAAGAGCTGGGTGGCCCTGCCCAACTGGCTTAGCCTCGCAGACTCTGTTTACGCCTCTGTGAAATGGTATCGTCGCAGCCACTGGGGGTTGCTGTGAGAAGTCAGCTACGTCCTCCTCGCGGCAGCACCGAACACCTGTGGTTCTGCAACCCCCAGCCTTTTCCCCAAGCTCCTGTCTCCCAAACAGCTCCCATTCACATGAAGCTGCCAGCTCCACCCGGCCAGGTTCGCTGCTGCACCCTCAGCCCCGGGACCAGCGCCTCGCACATACGAGGGGATATGCGTGGTCTGACTAAATGCCATACCTGCCCTCTGAGAACTTCTATCCCCTGGTGAGGTGGCCCTCCCTCCTCTGAACCACAGGGGAGGCCCGAGTGAGCGGCTTTCCCCGCGGCAGGCAGCCGGTCAGCAGCCAGTGCCAGGCCCGCGCGGGAGCCAGTGCCTGTGGGTCCCGGGACGCCTGGGGCTGGACAGAGCTGGGCATGCGTGAGCCTTGGCAGGACAGAGGGTGAGGGACACGGCAGAGACGCCTCCCCCAGCTCACCCAGCAGCTCTATCTATAGTCTCCCAGGAGCCGCACAGACCTGCCTCCTAATGAGCCTCTCCCGGCTCCAGGATGTACATCCTGCTGCTGCTTACAAGGCCCCGGGCTGACAGGCCCCGAGGGGTTTGCCCTAAACTGACAATCAGAGAGGCTCCAGGGCAGACGAGGAGTGGGGGTGCCCACTGGGGCAGGCAGCGAGACCAGATGGGGGGGGGGTGGCAGGGTGCCTCTGTCTGAGGTCAGCCTCTGCAGGTGTGTGTGTGTGGGGGGGAGCGGGATGACACACTCCTAACGGAGGTCACCCGGCTGGCCTGGCCCCTCCCAGCGCTCAGCGGGTGGTGGGCTCAAAGGAGAAGCAGCTGGTTCTTCGGGGGCAGACAGAGTGTGACGCTCCCGAGATGTGAGCGCCCCACCACCCCCTCTGCACCCTCGTAAAATCACTCATTCAAATCCAGGTGTGAGTGAATGACAGCAGCCAACCAGGGGAGTCTGGTTTAATGAGGACAAACGCTCAAGTCACAGAATGTTCTAGGAGAGAGGAGGGGCTCCGGGTGGCAGGGAAGTGCCTCCTGTCATCACCCACTTCACCCGCTGGAGGCTGGACAGGCCCTGACCCTCCTGCCACGGCCTCTGCCACGGCCCTCCTGCTCGGCTGGGGCACTTGAGTTCGGCCTCGTGTGGACTGGAGACAAGCAGCCAAACCGCAGGGCCAGCCCAGAGGTAGCTCTGGAAGGAGAACTGTCCCTTCTCCGTGCCCTGCAAGTTCCATAATCTCCGGTCCTCCCCTCCCCGTCTGTGAAACGGGGGTCACAGCACCTACCTTCCGGGGTTACTGTGAAATCTAACTCACAAATCAGATAATGTATTGCAACCAATCAGGACACAATCTGGTCCATGCCCTAAAGACTCCGTAATCACAACAATAGTAACTGTCTCCCCACCCCCATCATTCCCAGGAACAGCCCTTCTCCAGGACCCTTGGTCCTCACCCTCCGGGCGCTCTTCTCACCACAGTAGCTGGCACTTCTGTCTGAACCCCCTCTCAGCTCCCTGGCCACGGCCGCCCTCCTCCTGGTCGCCTCCTGTGCCTCTGACCATGTCCTCTTTCTCCTGCTCCTGACCTGCGGGGGCCCTGCCCCAGGGCCTTGAGCACTGAGCCCGGCCAGCCCCTCCAGGGTCTCCCAGACCTCGGTCCCCTCTCCTCAGCAGAGCACCTCCGTGCTGTCCAGCAGCCACGACTCTGCTCCCTGCCACACTTCCCGCCTGTCCGTGACACCGGCGTCTCCCCCAGCTCCAAACCCCAATGCCTCCCGCCTCTTTGGGTCCCTTCCCCAGATGGGTGTCTTCTTCCCCCTCCAGGCCCAGCGCAGACTGCCCCGCGCCCTCAGCACGGCTCCCACAGAGCCCCTCCAAACACACTCACACCCGTTTGGCACCACCGTGTGTGGTTAAGAACACAGATCGAGAGGCAGCCTCAGTTTCCTTACCTGTAAAGTGGGGATAGTGTTAATCCCTTTTGCAGAGGATGAAATTAACTCACATACACAAATCACCAACGTAAGTGCTATAGGGGCCTTTGCTGTTATTATTATTACCTGTCTGTCTCCTGCCCTGGCCTGGGAGCAACCTGAGAGGGAGGCGTGGGTCTGGCAGCTCAGGGCGCCCATGGCCCCCAGCACGGTGCTCTGTGCCTGGCTGGCACGGGAGACGCAGCTGCTGGATTCGCCCGAATGCGTCTGTGAGGCTTTAAAGAGGTTCCCCGCCCTGAGAGGGCCTCCCAGACACCTGGTGCCCCAGTGGCTGTTGGTACATGGGTTACCCTAGGGCTCGGCCCAGCAGCCTGCTCACTTTCGCCCAGCAGTGTGACATGCCTGGCCCCTCCATTAATACTGCTGTCAATCATGTCTTGGTTGATCTATTCCCGGCTGTGGAGCAGGGCCCCAGCTGCCCGCCACCCTGGGGGCAGAGTCTGGGGCTCAGTCAGGGAGGCAGATGGGAGCCTGCCTGGGTTTCCCCGTGACCAGCACCGCCCCATCCCCCCGCACCCTCAACTCCTCCAATGGCTGGATGGAGCGCCCAAGCCGCTGAGCCTCACTGCCCTCCTCACCATCCCACCAAGCTGGGTTCTGAGTCCCTTCCTAGGAATGCAGAAGTTGTGGGGAGTCAGCGGGATCCCCAAAACCTCTGGGCAGTGGGCTAAAGACCCTAATTCCTTCTGCCCCATGAGACTTGAATTGGCATGCTCTCCCAGTCTCCAACCTTGAATTTCCCTTCACTTCCCCTCCATCTCTCTCCATCCCAACCATTCTTTCCCTACCACCGCCCGCCCCCCAACACGATCTTGCACCTTCTCTGAGCCTCTTGTAGACCCCATGCTCCAACCACTGTCCTCTCCCATCCTCCCATTCCAGGAGCCCAGGACCTGCCCAGACACTTAACGGATTTGTGTGGCTCGAAGGCCTACTTTGTCTCCGGTCTCATTTTGCACAATTACTTCATTGACTGATACACTCGTGTGCACATCTGAGCTCCCTGTGGTCAGACTCTAAGCTCCCTGAAGATGGAGATGAGGCTACATCCCCTTGAATGCCGCACAGCTGGAGGCATGATGAGCACAGAGTAGGTGGTCATGACCACCTGTGAAACAGATGGTAGCTTTTCTGTCCCAACCAAGAAGCAGGAAAAGGTGCCACCTCACCTCCCGGATCAGCAGCCTAACCTGGAAGGAGACGGGGTTCCTGGAGGCCCCTCTCACCCACCACACATAGCCAGTCAGTAGCCACCGTGAGCAGGGTCCCAGCGAGCCCACGCGAATGCCACCAGCCAGGACCCCCGTGTTCCTGTCCGAGTGGCCGGCAGGGGCCCAGGCCCGTGAACCCCTGCCAGCTCGCCACCAGCGCCAGCCATCACCATGGAACCAGGCTGGGTTCGCATGACCTCCACACAGACCAGCACCACCGCAGCTCCCGGCACTTAGCACAGTGTGCAATTACAGGTTTCTTTGTGTGATTATTGGATAATGTCTGCCGCCCCCACGAGATGTAAACTCCACGAGCCTGGCTGAAGGGTGAAGGCTGTGTGTTTGTTCCCTGCTGACTTCCCAGCCTCTAGTGCAGGGCCCGGCACCTGGTGGGGAGTCAATAAACACTTGAGGACTGAATGCTGAATGAATTTGGTATCTGACACACACCAAAGCCTTTCTGTGTAGGCTGTGTCACGTGAGCCTCAAAGCAGCCCTGTAAGGTAAGTACACGTTTAAATACCCATTTTACAGATAAGGAAACTGAGGCTCAAAAAAGTCAAAGTTTAAGAAAGAAGAAGAAGAAAGAAAGAAAGGTCAAAGTTTGCCCAGATTGACGGTCCATTTGAGTCACAGAGCCCATTAGAAACCAGGTGTATCCACGCTCAACAATCTGCACACATGGGAGGATGGTGATGATGATGATGATGGTGGTGATGGTGATAGCTAACGTGTGATAGCAGTAGGCTGTGTTGCATCAGGAAGTGCCATGAGCGCTGTGTCCCGTCCCTCACCCCCACTTACAGCAACTTGGCTGGCAGAGAGTATCTTGGGGTCCTGACTCCCCAGAATCCACCTGCCAAGAGCTGGGGCCGGGGGGACCAGGCCTCCTCTGTGTATCTTGAGCCCTGTCTGGCCCCCATCTGCCCCTCTAGTGGGAACAATGAAAAACAGGGGAGCTCCAGGCCAGGTCACCCCAACACCCATCGGGCTTCCCTGGAATCCCAGGCACCAGTGGGGACCCCTGACAGGAGGAAAGACTCGGGGTGCAGGGAAGACTGTGAGGAGATGAAGACACTGCCCCAGGGAGGGGAGTGGCAGGTGGCGCGGCTCAGGAGTCCCTCCCTGTGCAGGGCCATCTGTGCACAGCTCCGGGGGTCTCTGCTCACATAGAGGGACCACCCCCATCCGCGGGAACCAGGCCTCCCACACCCGGGACGGGGAGGGACATTTTCCTAGCTCACCGATCATAGTCCCCGTTGCAGAGGGCTCTCACAGGAATGGAGAAAGTTTGCCACACTGGGTTTAGGGTGTTCTTCATGACCTCGGTCTTGTGGCAGATGGTGAACCTGGCAAAGAAGAGAGGGAAGGTGTCAGACCCTGACCCAAGGAAGGCAGAATCCAGGTCAACTGAGGGACCAGCTGGTTAAGCTCTACAGTTGCCAGCCAGTAAGGACCGTGGCTTTGTGAAGGGATGAGCTGACCGTCACCAGCGGCATCCAGGTAGAAACTGGACGGCCATTTCCTGGTGATGCCGCAGAGAGGGTTACTGGGGGATGCGGGCTCTGGCCCTGCTCTCTGTGTGACCTTGAGCATGACCTTTCCTCTCTGGGCCTCTGTTTCCAGGGACTTGGCCACTATCAGACGTTCTTCAACTGAGACCTACGGAAGGATCTGGGCATGGGCTTTAGGGGCCTGCGAACCCGGAAACTGTCAGTGAAGCGGGGTCTGGGCTTCGCATGCTTGCTGCTTTCCTGCCCCCTACCCCCCCAAACCCCAAATTCCATGTTCATGGCTCACCTCCTCACTCCCTTCAGGTCTTTACTCAAATGCCACCTCCTTGACACGAGTACCTGCCATGAGCACCGTATCTGAAATTTCCACCCCCTGGCCCCTGGCCCCTGGCCCTGCCATCCCAGGCCCCGGCCACGCTGTCTTCCATCCCACCCGTCACCATTTGACATTCGACAGTCTGATTTTCTGCTTATTCATTTTATGGTCTGTCACTGAACTGTACGCTCGGTAAGAGCAAGGGGTTTGTCTTCTTTGACCACTGGTACGTCTCTGGTGCCCCCAAACAGCGCCTGGCACGTAGTAAATGTTCACCAAGTATTTTCTGGAATGAGTGAATGAATAAATGTATTTCCTAGAGGAGAATTTCCATCGCTTTTGCTGGCATTTCAAGCCAGAGGATGAAAGCTCTGGCTGAGATGATCTCTAAGACCCTTTCAGCTCTGAATCCATGAGCTTGCTTTGCAACTAGAAATGCAGAATTGGCTTATCCCATCTGGGCCCCAAAGCAGCGTCCCTGCCCACTCCCCACACACGCCCGCTGGCCCCATCCTGGAAGCCTGCCCGGCCGGCCGGGGCAGAGGGGGGAAGCAGCCGAGAGCCAGTGGAGCTGGGCCAGGGGCGGGCCCCCCGAGACTTCCCAGCATCCGTCCCAGCGACCTCCCTGCTGGAAAGGCCTCTCAGGAAGGTGCCTGGGCCCCACCCGTGCCCACACAGCCTGTGCCATTTCTTCTCTGGCAGTTTTCAAGTCAAAATGTCATTTCTGTCACCAAGGCTCAGCGTTTCTCTTCTCCGCTCCTCTCGCCCACCCGCTGGAGTGTAGAGATACACGTGGGAGACCTCCCCACACACCCAGAGCTGCTGGTGACAACAGGAATGGCACGGAGGAAGGAGGGGCCACAGCTGCCGTGGCTGGGGCAGCAGGAAGAGGAGGCTGGGTGGGGG